AAAAAAAAAAAAAAAAAAAAAAAAAAAAAAAAAAAAAAAAAAAAAAAAAAAAAAAAAAACAACAACAACAACAACAATACTACCTGCAAAAGATTGATGACGTATTGCTGCAATCCCAACTTGTCACAAAAGCAAAAGCCACTGATAAACCCCCACAATTGAATATCAAGTCCTATAAGTGATTGATATGAGTACAGAATGGTTGTCAATGAAATTTACTTACCGAGAAAGTAAAGAAAATTACTGGAGCGATTGGAACAAAATTGAGGCGAAATGAATTTGTGCTTAGGAAATTAGACATAAAATTGATGGTGGATGGATGCTGCTCATCTCTCCATATATTGCTCATCAAACAGACTCCGCCGCCTGCACTTGTGAAACAAACAGATTACTCCAATGCACCATTCTCGTGCGTGCTCAGACATTTTGAAAAATGTACATACAAGATTTTTGTTTAACATGTTCTACAAGTATAACCTCATTTCGCGCATAGAGAAATTTGATCATGACAACACCACGTCCACTTTTAGAGAACCACTATTCGGGTTTTTCAATTGTCATGATGATCTTCTTTTAAATTATTAGCCAATTAAAAAAAAAAATTAAATAGAAAAAGGAAGGGAAAATAAAAGGGTGGGACGCAAGATCTAACATTGGATAGCACACTCAAAACATATTATATGTGGTGGCATAAGATTCAAAAACTCGAACATGTGAAGTTACGGCTCCCAGAAAATTATCAAATGTCTCGTAAAGAAATGCATTAAATCACGAGTGTTCTTATGATAATGCTAGACGGATCAAGAACAATACTAACGTAAAGACAGTAGACGCTAACTAACAATTTTCCTAGGGAGTTCTTAAAGCACAAACAATTTACATTTCGGAGGAGATAGATCCTTGTTCTCCCGGAAGTAATCAGCACAGACAACTATAATTTTCCTCGTTTGAAATCATTTCGTTTGCGGAAACTATAAACGAGCAAAGTAGAGATTGAGCGACAGTGACAGTTGAAAACAAGTGAACGAACATTGACATGCAATAAGAAGATTCCTCTAAAATCGTATTTGTTGACATCGGAGAGCATATTTCTTCGTGTGTTTCCAGTGTTTGTTTATTTGATGATCAAAAGATATCGCATCCCCGTGCCTAAAGCAATCAATTAGGAGAATTCTACATTGCTTTCTACCCTATGAAATACTAACATAATCTTGTGACCTAAAATGAATTCACGAGTCCTGCATTTGCATCCGATCAAGACATATACGGCTTTCTAGTAAATAACACACAGTTTAAATCAATAAGATAGTTAAGAACAGAGTACCAGAATTTTTTGCTTTCACTTGATTTCCATCCATTTGATTAACATCTCTCTGTGACAAACTCCCCATTGCTAACTCTCAGTGATAACATAAACTTTGTACAGAAACGGGGGAGAGAGAGGAAGAGAGGCAGCGGGAGGAGAAGATATGGCGCGCGAAAATCTAAATCCTGCGCGAAACTAATTTTCAGGAGGGCTTTTAAATTATAGCAACAGAACCGGGGCCGAGCTGAAGCCTTTATCTAAGTCCATTTCAAAGCCCATACGTAGGCCCAATAGGAAACCTGTATCTAAGTCCATTTCAAAGCCCATACTTAGGCCCAAACGGAAGCCCATATCTAAGTCCATTTCTCGGGTTTTGGACCTCTCGCTGGCTATTCTTAATTGGGTCGGGTCTTGGGCATGACCTAAAGCTTCACGCCTCATGCCTCACTTCTCGTGCCTCCTCTCTTTTAGACCTCATGGCTCATGGCTCATGCCTCGTGTCTTATTATCTTTAAGCCTCATTGGCCTCAAGACCCATGCACCAAACTGATGAACTAGGTTGAACCAAACCAAATGGTTCGGTTCGATTATTTGAAGAAAGCTGGAGATTGGTCGGTTCTCTAACATCCAAACCGGAAAGAATCGGTTCGGTTTATCTGAAAAAGGTGTACAACCCGCCAGTGGAGAGAGCAGAGAGCAGAGAGCAGAGGTGCAGGGAGCAGGCACCGATGTCCGGCGAAAGCATCTGCAAACAGTGAAAGAAGCCCCTCAGTTATTCCCTCTCTCTCGGCCGCCGCGCCGCCCATTGGAGTTTCTGATTCTTCTTCATCTTTCTAGTCAGTACATTCCATCCGTGTACGTGGAAAGGAGAGTACTCTTTCCTTCATTGCAGTTGTTTTAGGCTTAACTATTCCACACGATGCTTTCAAGTTCCTCGATGGCTTCACCTAGCCGCCCAAATTATGTATTAGTTTCGGATATTATACGTACACCCTCTCTATCTTCGCAAAGGATTAAAGCTCTAAGCTGGTTTGTTGATTCAAACATCATCCCATCTTATAGTTTCCCTTCACTGCTAAAAATGGCCAAACAACCACAGCGCAAGAATCACACCCTACACTGCTCCGCATCACTTCATTCTACTGAGACTCTTCCCCGGTTTGTTTTCAATTCACTGCACCTTTTAGTATAACTTTTCTTCCAGGGATATGTTTCCGTCTATTTCCCCTCACCTCCTTAATTTTGGAAACATGAGAATGAAATAGCTCTTGGTTAGAATCTCTTCTCTGGTATTTACTTGCAGGAAAGATGAAATTTCTGTTCATGGAGTTTCTGAAAAAATTGTTGGTGTCCTAGGAGGGGGCCAACTGGGTCGTATGCTTTGTCAAGCAGCCTCCAAATTGTCCATCAAAATCGCAATTCTCGACCCACTTGTAAACTGCCCTGCTAGTTCGTTAGCTTACTATCACATGGTTGGTGACTTTGATGATAGTAATACTGTCCAAGAATTTGCTATGAGGTACATTTTTTACGTTCATTAGTTCTTTTTTAATGCTCATGGTAGTAACAGTAAGTTCCGTCCATGGTAGTTAGATGTGAAGTCTTAACAGTTGAAATTGAACACGTTGATGTGGCCACACTAGAGATTCTCGAGGAGCAAGGAATTGATTGTCAACCGAGAGCATCTACCATCCGTATAATTCAGGCCTGTGTTTCTTCATGTGTACATTTGGTTTTGAAAGCCATCTTTTTTTAAGTCCAAAAGTTACTTGTCAATTCTAAGATTTTCAGTCAATCTTTTATTATGAGGACCGGATGAATGAAGGCTACATCTATAATGGAAATAGAGGAATGCATAATACATACACCTTTAAAGAAGCTTCTAATCGGAAATTTGCCTATAACGCTGTTATCGTGACTACATCTTATATATCTTGCAGTACTAGTCTCCTCCCTCTCTCTTCTTGTTGGTTGATATCTTTTAAAATAACCAATGCATGTGTTATACACCTATCAAATTGTCCCTGCAATCTGCTCAAGAAGATTAAATCTTCTAACCTCCACCATTACGTTGCTCAGAGATCGAAATAAATTGTCTACTATATTTGTTTATTATTTCTGATCCTTTATCATCTATTATGTTACAGGACAAATATCTCCAAAAAGTTCATTTTTCTCAGCATGGAATTCCATTGCCCGAGTTTACGCAGGTTATATTATCTGCCTTGACTTCTCCTTAATGGTGTTGCCATTCTTGCCCTTATATTTGTGTTTAACAGTAGCAGATTACTTACTGACCGTTAATGTTTTCTCTTACAGATCGAAGATCTTGAAGGTGCAAAGAAAGCAGGTGATATATTTGGTTATCCTCTCATGATTAAGAGCAAAAGATTTGCTTATGATGGACGAGGAAATGCTGTTGCGAAAAGTGTGGAGGAGCTTTCTTCTGCCATTTTTGGTGATGTTTCTTTATTTCGAGTTCTTTTTAAATATTGAAATTGCAATATATTAATAATAGTATGCATAAAGCCTGTAATTTATGCGATTATTAAAAATAGTCCCGTAACTTTTTGAGAACAACCTATGGGGTGCTCAATGAAACGATCTTGATTTCACACTATGTTGTGGGCTGAGGAGAGAGCTACTCTACAAAGCGGTGGGGAGTGGGATAGTACTGACATCTAGCTCCTCGTTAGGTTTTATGTTTTCCTCAAGGCATCAATGTTGAATTTTCTTTCATTCTCCTTTTTTTTTTTTTTTTTTTTTGTAGGCTTCGTTTTTTAGGATGCTCTTATGTTCCTTTATTTTTTCCCGAAGAAAGTATGCTTTAAAAAAAAAAAAACATATGGAGATGGAGATTCAAAGCTGAGACATTTTGGTTTAGGATATGTCTTAATCAATTGTTACATTTTTTTTTTGTACTTGTAGAAATTTAATTTGGGAGTCTAAGTAATTAGGCATTTCGTATGCTTGTTATGTTTACTTCTTGGTCCGTTTGAGGTCTTAATTTACGCATAATTTTATTTAATATATTTCCTACTTTTCTAATAACTTGTGCTCTTTGTTAATATGTCCAGCTCTGGGTGGATTTGAGCGTGGCTTATATGTCGAGAAGTGGGCACCTTTCGTGAAGGTTAGGTCTTAGCATTCTGTTTGCCTTGTTGATCATTCACCTCACTCTTAATTGCTTTTTTCTCCCTATGTATGCATTTCCCTTTCTTTATTTCCTTTTTTTTTTTTTTTTTTTTTCTGTAATGAAAGAATTTCATCGGGAGTAAAGCCATGTCCCAAGCAAGGAAGCTTACACAAAGCTTTTCCAGTTAGCTTAAAGAACATTTTAGTGATAGTTGTTGAAAGGAGCATAGAAGCTACACCAAGAGAGCCGTTAAAAATAGTTTCTAGAATTCTTTTAGTTTTCTTTCTTTTGTAAGAATGTGTGAATATATGATAAATGAACAATAGCACATATCAACTTGCATATGAAGTCCTGGACCTAAGCATTATGAAGTTTCTGTTTGCATATCTTTTTCAGGATGACATCTGATCTTTGTTTTCCTTTTGTGTGATAGGAACTGTCAGTTGTTATTGCAAGAGGCAGAGACAACTCCATGGCATGCTATCCTGTTGTTCAAACTATTCACAAGTAAGTTGAAGGATACAATTTTTATATGTTCTTCCCTTTCCCTTCTTGCAAACTTCCATTTCTCCTTGCAAGCTTTTAAAAAATGTAAATTCATGAAATGTATAGCTCAATGGTATTGGTGAGTATTACCTCCTTTATGGTAGGAGGTTCAAATCTCCACAACCCCACTTGTTATTGTAAATTTCATGCATCATATGCAAGTGTCTAAATTATCAATCATACTATGTCGATGTCTAACTTTTTATTTGATACCTATCTTCGTCTCTCTATTCTCAGGAGGGTTATAAAGGGTTTGTAGTTGTAGAACATGGAAGATTCAAAGTTGAGGTGAACGATAAGTTTAGATGTACTTGTCCTAGGTTGAGTAAATGGAGGGAAGATAGTTCTTTCATAAGTTGGAGGATAGAAATAAACATGCTATGGTGGCGGATGTTATCCTTATGGAAAATCCTAATTATCATTTACAAAAACCTAGTTGGGTCAAGATTGACAGGTTTTTTATCAAATCTTTGTGGAGCTCAAGAAGTATTGCTCTGGCTTCCTTGCTTTCATGGGAGTATCCTTTTATGAGTTGATCCTTCTTACAATTTCGTGAATATGGTATTAGGTTATTAATCACTTGCACTGAAAATTATGTTGAGGACCTTCCTTTACTTTCGTTTCTAGCCTAAGCTTAATTCCGATCATTGCTTCTTCTTCCCTGCCGTCTTTGAGCCTTCAGCCGCCAGTCTTTTGTGGAAGTCAAAAGCTGTGTTGTGTTCATAATAGATTTTTTTTTTTTTTTATCAACCTAATCAGCAGGGTGAAACAACTAAACAGTGGGCCATAATATCTCGACTCTCAAGTTGTAGTTGGGTCTTTTGGGAGTCTTTGATCAACACAATATTTTTTCCACCTCCATGAATAGTTTCTACACAGTTATGCTTACTGGCCCCTTGCTTAATTCCAAAGCTAAAGCTTCTTGTTACAGTGTGGTGAAGTGTATTATGTGAGAAATTTGGCTGGAAGTAAATATAACTTTTGAAATGTTGAAGGGCAGCTCTTAACTTTTTGGGACCGTATTTGTCTTCTCTTCTCAGGTTGTGTTAGATAAGTCTTCTGTAAGTATTAGCTTTCTTTGATTCTTTATCGACTGGAGCAATTATTTGGAACTCTTGGTTCTGCAGGCTCATTTCATTTATGATAAAAATTCATTCTTATAAAGAGAAAATTGTGAGATAAAATTGCACTGATTTTACATTACTCCTGTGCATTCAGACAACACATTGGTTCTAGCTTTGTTTTTGGCTAGTTCCTCTTGCTGGGCTGTTGTTTATAGGTCATTTTGTATTTTGTATTTTTTTTTTTTTCCATTTTCTCAATGATAGCTGATTTTCCATAAAAAAAATTACTTAGACGTCACATAACAAAATTTATCCCTGTAGAGAAAATATTTGTCACATCGTCAAAGCTCCAGCTAGTGTGTCATGGGAGATCAAGAAACTTGCAACCGATGTTGCATTCAAGGCTGTTAGCTCTCTGGAAGGTGCTGGCATTTTTG